GGCATCAAATGCCCAGTAGGGGTATAGTAGTGAAAAGGAGAAACACAAGTTTCTGGCCTTATAGATTTAAATCGAATATTGTATGTTGAAACTTGAAATTAAAGAGGCTACTTTAAGAAAAAAAATTTTTTAAAGTTTGAATAATTGAAAATTTTAACTCTATGGGTTTAATCTATGCAGATATGTGTGTATATACATATGGTTTGAATTTCTAAGTATGCCTTGTCTATGTATTAGGAGCTTTATATTTTGGCTGGTATTGTAATAGTTTTTTATAAGAACTCTGTGTGACTTGGAACCCAAGTCAGTTCACTCTCATTATCCAGGTTAGAAGGAGTGCTGTGCCATGCCCTTAAAATTTCTAGGTTTTTTTCTGGTCTTACATATGCTTGCTAAATTCTGAGGTTGGTATTAATTTGAGCAGAACATGGTTAGGAATGTAGTAGTACAGCCAGAACACTGGTCACCAAAGCAGATAAAGTTAATAAATCTATATAACATTTAGAAATGCTTCTTTTATTAATTTCATTTGATAATGCTGAACATCTTTGTATATAGGCATTTTAAAAATTCTCATTCTACTGAAAAGGAAATTCAGACTGGAAATAAGTGATAAACCCAGGGATATTTAGCAAATGTATGGTAGAGCAGACTTGAAAGGTGGTGGAATTGTAGTGTGTTTTTTCCTACTGTATCGCCAACTGGTGTTCAGTTACTCATCACTCATACCTCTGTCATAAATGATTGGCTTGATGTTAAAAGAGAGCAGTAACATTTTTCACTAAGGAAATGGCTTGACTGATATCTTCCAAATCGCGCAGTTCTGTAATATATTTGTATTTTATAGTGTGAACCTTGTAAACCTAATCATTACACAAAAATTATTTTGATTTGTTGTATGCAGTTAATGCCAGTGTGTTTTCCAATTTCCCCAGTGCAATTTCTGGGTACAAATGAATCATTCAGATACCATTTTTACCTAAGAAAGTTAAGTTAAATATTAAGTGACCAGGTATGTTGGTGAGACTTGTGCACCACAATGAAGGAATGTAGCGCAACCCCGTGTCACGTAAGCTGTTGGTAAATAGTGGCCAGAGAGTTATATGTAAGAGCCACTGATGATTGACCTTGGACACATTTTTCCCTGTGCAGTGTTAATCGGCGTGTTTGGCCGCTGCCATGCAGGCTCTTCCTAACTGATTCTAACCAAGGCTGGCAACTGGGTCCTGAGGTATTGCTTCTGTAGTTTCTAAGCCTGTATTTTTGCTGCCGTAAATTTGCCCAACCCAATTTGTCGGTTGTTTCTGCTCCCTAGTCTCTATAATACCTCCCTCTATCCTCTTACAGGAATTGAAGACAAGCAAACTTAACATAGGAAGGATTTTGTATTTACTGAATTTGCCAAAACTATGAGCAACATACAGTTACTAAAGCCGTGTGCTGTGGGATGTACTCCACAGAGACCCAGTGTTAGGATAGTCAACGAAAACAAACCTCCGCATTCCTGCTGTCCTTTAGCTTAGTGTGAAGCTCATGTAGTACAACTTGCTACGACTAGGTGGCAGTGTTGATTTCAGAGAAATTTCAGAAAAATGCTGTGTTCTTGGTTTATGTTCAAAGTTATTTGAGCAAGAATTCATATTTGAAAGTTTATGTTTAGTGAAATAGAAAAATGTATGAGGTGAACTAAAGGTGAAAAATCAAATCAAATCATCTCACTTGTCTTTGTAGCCAATCTTACTCAACTTGGTTTTATGATTTTTTTGTGTTTAAATCTCATTCGATTGCCTAAAATGCCACATTTATTAGCTCAAGGCATATGATAATATTCTTTAAATCAGTCATTAGCAATTATTTATTAAATTTAAGAATAATTTCTTTATGGTAGTTTTGCTAGTGAGTAAAAGAATATTTTTTAAAACTTGGTAAATATATAAGTGGATGTCACTACTACATACAAAAATTGTAACATATCTCACCTCTTTTGCCTTTTTAAGATAACATGCATAAATTTATTTGATAACACAGTTGACTTTTGATAGCTTTTTAGTATTTACATCAGTTATATTTTCAGCAACCTTTAAAAATTTTTTTCTCCAGTGAATCAGTTTCTTCATTTATCACTGGTTCTCAAATAGAAATAGAATTTCTTTGTCTTTGTTTCATACTTATCCCAAAGTGTTTATGGCCTTATCAATAAATTATAGCTATCTTTGTGACTGACTAGTATAAAATTGTAATAAAGACTGTATGAAAGACTTTGCATTATTTCATGATACTTACAAACTGAAATTTCTTTTTAATTAGATGTGAAAGACAAATTTTTAAACTTTTTCTCAAAAAAAATACAGTATTAGAAACTAGTGGTTAGTTTAAATTACTTTTTAAGTTCAGTTGCAGAAAACTTCAGGTAGAGGGGAAAATACTTTATTTTTCTCCTAGTTTGTTTAATTTCAATTTTCCTGTAAAAAAATTAAATTGACAATAAATTATATTGGATTGGTCATGGTTGGTTAGAATCTATTAACTGCCTCTTCCCTAAAATTTGCCCTCAACCTACCTAGCTCAGTAAAGCTATAGACACAAAGTTAATATACAAAAATCTGTTGCATTTCTATATACTAATAATGAACTATCAGAAAGAGAAGTTTTAAAAACAATCCCATTTACAATTCTACCAAGAAAAAAACAAACCTAGGAATAAATTTAACCGAGGAGGTGGAAGACCTGTACACTGAAAATTATAAGACATTAACAGAAGAAATTGAAAAAGACAAATAAATGGAAAGATACTCAGTGCTCATGGATTGGAAAAATTAATATTGTTAAAATGGCCATACTACCCAAAGCAGTCTCTAAATTCAGTACAATCCCTATCAAAATTTCAATGGCATTTTGCACAGAAATAGAACAAATAATTCTAAAATGTGTATGGAGCCACAAAAGGTGCCAAGTAGCCAGCGCAGTTTTGAGAAAGGAAGAGAAGGCTGGAGGCATCACATGCTCTGACCTCAGACTGTATGACAAAGGTCTGGTAAGCAAGACAGGCTGGAGGTGGCATTAAAACAGACACATAGATCAATGGACAGAATAGAGGGCCCAGAAATAAACCCATGCATGTATGCTCAGTTCACTTATGACAGAGGACCAAAGGTATACAGTGGGGAAAAGACAGTTTCTTCAATAAATTGTGTTAGGAAAACTGGACTGCCACATGTAAAAGAATTAAACTGGACCACTGTCCTATACCATACACAAACACTAAATCAAAATGGAATTAAAGACCTGAATGTAAGACTTAAAACCATAGATCTCCTAGGAGAAAACATAGGTGGTACGCTGCTTGACATTAGTTATGGTAATGCTTTTTTAGATCTGATACCAAAAGCAACGGCAAAAAAAGCAAAAATAAACAAGTGGGAAGACATCAAACTAAAAAGCTGCACAGCAGAGGAAACCATCAACAAAATAAAAGGCAGTCTGCTGAATGTAAGAAAATACTGCAAATCATGTATCTGCTAAGCGAGTAATATACAAATTATATGAAGAACTCATGTGACCCAAAAGCAAAAAGCAAGTGATTCAATTAAAAAATGGGCAGAAGGTCTGATTAAACATTGTTCCAAAGAAGACATATAACTGGCCAACAGGTCCATGGAAAGATGCTCCACATGACTAATCAGAGAAATGCATGTCACATTTGCAGTGAGATACCACCTCATACCTGTTAGAAGGGTAGTATCAAAAAGACAAAAAGTATCAGTTGGCAAGGATGTGGAGAAAAGAGAACCCTCATGCACTGTTGGCGGGAATATAAATTGGTGCCACTACTGAAAAGCAATATAGAAGTTCCTCAGTTAAAAATAGAACTACCATACGGTCTAGTAATTGCACTTCTGGGTATTTATCGAAAGAGAATGAAAACTCAAGAGTTGTATGCACTCCCATGTTGACTGCAGTATTATTTACAATAGCTGAGACACGGAAACAACCTAAGTGTCCTTTGATGGATGAGTGGGTTGAGAAAATGTGATACATAAATATGGTGCAATATTAACCTATAAAGAAGGAAATCTTGCCATTTCAACATGGATGTATCTTGAGGGTGAAGTGAAATAAGTCAGACAGAAAAAGACAAATAGTATACAATCTCACTTATATGTGGACTCAAAAAAGAAAAGCAATCCCAGGCTCACAGCTACAGAAAACAGATTGCTGGTTGGCAGAGGCCGGGCTGCAGGGTGGTGGGTGAAATGAGTGAAGGGGGTCAAAAGATACAAACTTGCAGTTATAAAATAACTAAGTCCTCAAGATGTACTGGGACAGAATGTTGACTGTAGTTAATCCTACTGTATCATGTATTTGAAAGTTGCTAAGAGTAGATCTTCAAATTCTTGTTAAAAGAAAAAATAAATTTTGTAACGCTCTACAGTGATGGATGTTAACTAGGTTTGTTGTAGTGATCATTTTGCAATGTATACAAATACCGAATCACTATGTTGTACACCTGAAACTAATGTAATATGTCAACCATACCTCATTAAAAAAACTGCTCTCAACCTACCTCACACACCGGCGGGTGGGCCAAGAGCTTCAGAGTCATGCTGACTGGTCTCTGAGCTCTTTGACCTGCAGAGTGGGGACCACAGCGGACTCACTTATGCCCCACACGTCCGTTCCCTTATACAAGAAATTGGGAACATGGCATCGGCTTATTTTTCTTTTAATGTCAAGAAGAATACATGGCTGAAAGTACCTGGCAGTAAATAAGCACTTTTGATGAACACTTGTGTTTCATAAATACAGCCGGTGGAAGAAAGGGGATGACTGAGGACAGAAAAGGCAAGGGGCATTAGAGCAACTGGTTTTGTGGATAGATTGATGGACACTTCCAAGGATTCACCCAGTACCACGATTTATTGTATCATGGATCTAAGTTTTAAAGTAATCGATGTGTGTGGAATCACTGATTATTTTTCTCCCCCCCTCTCTCTCTTTAGGACACTCACAGAGAGCTACGATGGAAAAGTCCTGGATGCTGTGGAACTTTGTTGAAAGATGGCTGATAGCCTTGGCTTCGTGGTCTTGGGCTCTCTGCCGTATCTCTCTTTTACCTTTAATAGTGACTTTTCATCTCTATGGAGGCATTGTCTTACTTTTATTAATATTCATATCAATAGCAGGTATTCTATATAAATTCCAGGATGTATTGCTGTATTTTCCAGAACAGCCGTCTTCCTCACGCCTTTATGTCCCTATGCCCACTGGTATTCCGCATGAAAACATTTTCATCAGAACCAAAGATGGAGTGCGTCTAAATCTTATTTTGATAAGATACACTGGAGATAATTCACCCTATTCCCCAACTATAATTTATTTTCATGGGAATGCAGGCAACATAGGTCACAGGTTACCAAATGCATTGCTTATGTTGGTCAACCTCAAAGTTAATCTTTTGCTCGTTGATTATCGAGGATACGGAAAGAGTGAAGGAGAAGCGAGTGAGGAAGGACTTTACCTGGATTCCGAAGCCGTGCTAGACTACATGATGACGAGACCTGACCTGGACAAAACTAAAATTTTTCTTTTTGGTCGCTCCTTGGGAGGAGCAGTGGCTATTCATCTGGCTTCTGAAAATTCACATAGGATTTCAGCCATTATGGTGGAGAACACATTTTTAAGCATACCGCACATGGCCAGCACTTTATTTTCATTCTTTCCAATGCGTTACCTTCCTTTATGGTGCTACAAAAATAAATTTTTGTCCTACAGAAAAATCTCTCAGTGCAGAATGCCTTCTCTCTTCATCTCTGGGCTCTCTGACCAGTTAATCCCACCAGTAATGATGAAGCAACTCTACGAACTCTCCCCATCTCGGACTAGGAGATTAGCCATTTTTCCTGATGGAACTCACAATGACACATGGCAGTGCCAGGGTTACTTCACTGCCCTCGAGCAATTCATCAAAGAAGTAATAAAGAGTCATTCTCCTGAAGAAATGGCAAAAACTTCGTCCAATGTAACAATCATATAATGTTTTTCTTGTTTGATTAATTCACTGTATTTTAATTTGGGCAGAATGATAAAGAATGTTCCTTTCTAGAAGTGTGTTCTGTCTGTGCTTGTCTGAAGAGTGACATTAAACTTTGAAAGGACTTCAGTGCTCCTTTAGGATAATCCAAATATTTTTTTTACATTTGAAGAACTATAATTGTTGGGATTGTTTCACACATTTTTGTCAAACCTTTCAGTGTGGTTATGTATCCATTGTCTAGTTTAATATGCCAGTATAATAGTGTATTCAAAAGTTTCTTGTTGCTAAAATGGTATAATCTATGTGACACTTAGATTAATGGCTGGGTGTGGAAGTAGGCGGGAATGAGAAACCTTTGGGTATAACTCCTTTAGTAAATATCAGGACAATCATGATAAGCCAACTTTCTGTAACTACATTTTTCACCATAAAGTTGAAATGCATGATGGTATTTTATTCTTTGAATTATGCAATGCAATGTTTTTATTGTAAATAGCACTTGCCATATACCAATGTATATGGTAACCTGGGTTACATCTATTTTTATGTAAACTCTATTTTGTTTTTGGCAAGAAGTGAAATTGAGGCCTGTGTGCAGGTTGCCATTGAATTTTGCTCTAGTGAATGCTGAGATCCAGCTTTTTCTTACAAATAAATGGGACCCCACTTTCCAATATAAATGTACCATGTTTTGTTGGGTACAGTCTGGATCATGGCATGTAAAAATAGAAATTTAGAATTTTACTGCAGCTTTGACGTGCATATTTGAACTTTTTAACATTTGTAATTTTGGTGGCAAGAGAATTTTAGCTTCTGTCAGTTTTGTAAGTCTACAGCTGAACCACTAGTAGCAGTCATAATGACGACTAAACCTTGTTTAAGAATTAACTTAGGAAGTCTTACCATTACATGATTGTACATACTGTTTTACAAAAGTTCCCACTTCAGATTTTTAAGTCCCAGTATCCAGGTATATTTAAACCACGAGAGCCAAGATAATCATATATCGGACTTTCTGAAAATAAAAGTTAAGCAAAAAAAAAACCCACTATGTCCTTTGGTTTAATGTTGCAATTAGTATGAAATAGAACTCCTGCATCAAAAGACAGCTTTAAAAAGTGTTATTTCTTTATGTTCCACATGTAGGAATGTGGGAATGAAAGAACTCTATAAAGCTTTTATCACAGAAATTATTGCCGCATTAAACAAGTAAATGGTTCTAAGTGGGCAGTAGTATTTAGACATATAGAAGAGAAAGAAAATTTTACTTATAAAAAGAGCCCCTTAAAACTTGCAGGATTTACTTTTTAAAAAATGTAAGCTATGAGGCATAATTGTGCAAAGTTGTTTCAAGCAGTCCTCGAAAATTAGGGGTGATTGGCTCTGTACATTGTATGTCAACTTTAACATATGATATTTTGAATATTTTAGATATATTTATTGACTTTGTGCAAGCAGCTAGAGTAGAAAAATAATGGGTCAGTAATCTTGACCCTAATTTAAAACTCTTCCCATGGACATAGGGCTAGAAATACTTTTGCCAAATAACATTCTTATTCACTGTATGTCAGTGTTTAGAAAAAATATATAGCAAGTATGATTTCTAAAACATGATAATGTTTTTCTATAAATCATTGTAAAAAAAAGTCATGCTTTTTAAAAAAAAGTTGGTAATGCATTTCATGGAAGGTGTATTTTGTATGTATAAATTCACCACAATTAATGGCTATTTTTCATCTCGTCAATCATTGCTATGTAGAATGACTCTCCTAAATAGTAATGTATTAAAAAGAAAAAATACAACAGAATATAGTATATTTAGACATGAGCTTACATGCCTAAAGCTTAGACTTGTATCTTTCTTTAACGTTTACAAAGTACCTTCTTAAGTTTCCATGTAATCATTTAGTCCGCTACATTATGGCGGAACTTACCAGCTTCAATTGTGAACATTGTGCTGATGAAGTATAAAAGCTTTTTCTTCGTCAGTGTTTTGTTTTATGCTGCTTTTTTTTGAATACTCTCAGTTTATAGACAATCTTTTCTTTTAAGCCATGACTTCCAAAGTTGTAGAGTGCTTGTTCCCATCCCTGTCTTTGTTTTCTTGAGGTGAAAGAACCTTCGTCTCTGCAGCTAAAGGAAGAGCTGTGTCTAGGGTTTAGTACGTCTTTTCTCTCCTCGCTTCCGTATTTGAGACCATTTCCTTAGATGAGCGGGGGCAGAAAACAAACTTATCAGGGGCCCATGATGCCCTTGTTATTTTTCAAAACATTTAATTTTGTGGCCAAAGCAATTGGTCTTAATAAAACATGAATTATTCATAAGTCATTCCTTGATTTTGGACTCATCTAAGTGGAAATAGAAGTGTGTCTGTCTTGTGCATTAATGTCTGGCTCATTTATGCAAGAGCAGTTATAGGAGTTTGAATGAATTTTAATTTATTTTAAATTTGGAAGTCCTAGAATGATTTTAAATATGGCCAGATACAGTTCATTTAGGTGAAAATCTGTATTTTAAAAGGGTTTTTTTTGGGGGGGAAATGGCAAAAAGGATATTGCAAAATATTGGAGGAAATAATTTGTAACAGAAGAATACTAAATGGATAGAAGCAGCTGGGGAGGAACTGTAGCGTAGTTCTTAAATGTAGATCAAGAAAACAACGAATGTGATTGGTGCAAAGGAAGCTAACAGTACAAAACCACCTTTGGATGAAGGCATTTCTAACAAGTAACTGGAGCGCCTGACATTGCAACTGCCCTATGGGTTCGCAAACACTTTGACTATAAAATTTATATTTTGTTAAAATGGTATTCTGAATTTTGTCACAGGGCAACTTAAATTTCTTTTTTCATCACGAGCTGTAGACGCTTAATTACCCAAGTTCTAGTTTCAGAAATGTGCCACTGGATTAATTCCATCATAATACATCTTGTTGAGAATCCATGCCACCAGATGCTTTCATACTCATTTCTTAACCTTTGTAAGATTTGGTTGGAGGTGGCAATAGGTTTGTTTGTTGGAATTAAAGGCCATATTCAATTTTATAAAAGTTATCTTGCAGGCTCAGCTTAAGTGTAATTGTTATTGAGTCCCTTCTTTGAGGTTAGGAGTAAATGAGGTACCCTTTTTTTTTTTAAAAGAATGTCACAGAAATCACTTTAAATTAGTCCAGGATTGAGATATACTGAAATCCTCCCCTGACCTCTTTCCTCTCCATTTCTTCTATTATATTTGAACACAATTATGGAGGAAAAAACTGTGAAAGAAAGTCATAATGCTTTTGGATTCTCCACTTAAATTTGTGTATTTTCATATCACTCAGGTAAGGTTTGAAGTGACAGAGCACAGACATCTATTTTTTAAATCAATATGGTAGAGAGTGAAACTTTTGTTTATATTGCTATATATACACATCATTTTAGCTAGCCCAAACTAATATGTTCATTTGTATGGCAAAAACAAATTCATTCATCCTAATAATAACACATTTTTGCCAAGCAGTGCAAATATACCTCCATTTACATTTTGTATCTTAAAAATGTAGTTTAAAAACAAGACTGTATAAGACACTTTTTTACAAAAAGTGCCATACATACATCTGTAACAGGGATGAGTGTGTGTTGTTTAATGTAATTTGTAACAATTTCTGTCAGTACAGCATATACTGAAAAGTTTTCAACATATTCAAGTACCTTCATGATGACCCAGTTTCATAATGTAAATCATATTTTTGTTATTTCCCATATTTTGTTTGACGCAGTAATAAAATTTTATAAAACTCAAAATTTGAATGTTACCGTACCATTATGTGCTAACCATGGCAAGCAGACATTTACATTTGTTTCTTTACAATAAATTTCTTTTAAAATATGCTTTCTATTTGTGTACTGACATGCAATAAATTGATACACTAAAAATTTGGTTAATGGCAAGATAGTCTACTCATTTTTTAAAATTTTTATTAGTTTTCTATTAGCCTAAGTTACATGGTAGGACATTAATGTTTCCTTTAAGGTTAAATAAAATTCCTGAATACATACTGAAATTAATGAATTTTTACTACAGTAATGGTGTGGATAAAAAGTAGAAGTTAGGTTTATATTTTCTATATATGAACCAGTGGTGAATGAACAGGTTCCAGTGAATAGCTAAATGAATCCAGGAGCAAATGAATTTTAACCGTTCATAGTTATGTTGCCTTCAGACTGCATGAAGCACCTTTTCACAAAGTTCTGCATTAGTGTCGTTTTTTTGGGTCCCATTAGTACTGAGTTGATGGTTGGAGATGACTGCAAAAGGCTGATACTCAGCCCTTACGGGTTTGTAGCTTGCTTTCCCGAACAAGCTTGCACGCTTGAATAGCGTCAGAGCCGGCTGGATGATAGGAGGTGTATGACGGACCTTAAATGTCCCTGTTCACATGGAGATGAGTCCACTTACTGTCATCCAGCTTCCCATGGGGTAGACTCAGTGGGAAGCAGGGTTTCTCATGTACTTCCCTGGGAGATTGCTGACCTGAATCTCAAGGGGAAGCAGGTTTTAGATCATTATTTCTTGTTTACCGAAGGTAATTTTTTTCACATTCCTATTTCACTGTTCAGCTCTTGCTTTGCATTCTGTTTACATCCTAAGATCATGAACAGTTGGATCTGGTTAAGGAAAATAACTCCTATCTTAATGAAAAGTGAGGGATAAGATATTTTCTGAATACACAAGTGTAATGCCAAGTATAAAATGTGTTGTCACTGAACCCCACAACGTTTGAGTAATTTGCAGTCCCATTTTATAATCAACAGGCTTGGATGGGGCTTAGCAATATACTCAGAATAACCCAAAATGGAGCCAGGATTTGAATTCAGTTGTAACTCTAGGGCAACTGCACATTGCTTTATTAATCAATGAAGCCATTTGCAAATTTTTATTCATTGTAATAGATTTAAGACATTGAAATGGAATTGAAAATGGACCAGTTCTTTGGGAACACTCAAGAATTGGCTACAAATGGAAACATAGGAATATTTTACAATAAACTACATTTTTTTCAAAATAGTTGAAATGTGTGTTCTGTTGGAAAATCTTACAGCCTGTAAGGTGGTAAGTTGTTATAGATAACCTTTTATAGATAACCAAAGCTCAAAAGATCTGGGAGTTGTCTTCCTCATAAAGTAAAACATAACTTTTTTAACTGATTCTGATGTTTCTTTTTCCAGTAAGATATATTTCCCTAACATTTTCACTACTGCCATATCGGTCTGTGAAATTACTTTATAACATCTAACGTTTATATCAAACACTTGTTACATATCAACTCCTTTTTAATAATTTACTCATGGTAACTGAGGAGTCTGTGAGCTGGTTTCTGACTTCACTGATGTCACTCCTGGATCTGTGTCCTGTTCGAACTTCCAGAAAAGCTCCATGCCTTTCCCTTCCCACGGGCCTTTAGTGCCCGCATTCTCATCAGATCAAAATCTGCCTTCTTGGTCCATAGGGTCCTTCCCAAAATAAACGTGACCGTGTCCTAAAAGATGGCTACTTTTTCTCTCATGAATCAGTCATTCCTCTTCTCTGCCTTGACTTACGTCCGGTGCTTTAACCTCCAGACCAAATGTCTTCAGCTTGCTGGGTTCCTGAGCTCATGACCCAAATTCATGGAAACTCTAGAAATAGTTTCTGCCCTTTCTCAAAACGTGTTGCACTCACTACATTTTGTATTTTGATACTTGACTATCGTCAGGTCCGTTCTTTATTACACAGTCCTCCTTCCCTTTTTTATGTCTTGCTCCTGTGATAGTCCAGGTGGGGTGGGTGCCACGTGATCCTCGTCTATCTGACATGGCACCAAGCAAGCCCAGTGTCATGCACCTTCAGGTGCTGAGTGTATTTTCTGTGTGAATGTGCTCATTGATTATAAAGTTAGTTCCGACTTTTCCTTTAGGAGGGAAAAAGATGCACAGAGGCAATTACTGTATAACATTTAATATTTCTTGAAAGTTTAGATCAAGATGAGCAACAAACCTGTACGGGGAGTTAAACACAGGTGCACACACCAAACCAGTGAATGATTAAAGTAGGAACATCAGATGTTCACCAGGTGATTAAATCACTGTTCAGGGTGGGGGAAAAGGCTATGCTTATGCAGGACATATGCAACCTGTGGGGTCTACTTACAAGAGCAGAGAGAGATAAATGTGAAAATACACCTTTTAAAAAGACAAGCAATGAGCACAGAGGGTAGGTATGGAACAGATCAGGTGAGGTCAAGAGCAATAACTCATAGGACTGCTGTGGATAAGACAAGGGCCAGGAGGTGAGGAGGGCGTATCAGTGGGAAGGCCCTAGAACCCCTTGCCGTGGGACATCTACTCTGGGTGACAGTGATTCTGTCCAGGTTTGATTTCTTCCCTTGTGTTTTTCCTATGTACCTGTGGTTCCCTTTTAAAATACTTGCCATTATCCTTATTATCATTTTTTTAAGCCAATGCAATGTCTCAGGCACTTAAATTAATGTGACTATTGGAATTTGTCATGGCCTATATTCCCAGGACATATTGCTTGAGGTGTGAGTTAAAGTCTCCTCTATAGAGATCATGGAAGCACCTAAGACAGGACAGAAGACTGGATTAGGGCAGAGATCAAGGAGAAGCTCAAATTCTCTGGGGACAGCTGTTAAACAATTGTAATTCTCACTTAAAAGAGGACTTGGAGATTCTTAAGAACTGATGTAATATTGTTAAAGTCCCTACCAATCTATTACCATATTTCATCATTATCTGTTATGTGGGTATTTTGCATTTTAGTCATTAGCATCTTCAATTACAGACACACAGACACCAACTGTATAGTTTTACCCACTCGACTGTGAAATTAGTGGAGGTGGACACACAGCTGGAATTCAATAAGAATTCTATGAGTGAAAAATATCCCTGGTATATGGCAGGTGCTCCACCATGTGATGATACCTTTGGAAAATACATGTCAGTACCTCTGCATTCCAGAAACATCTGGAGGAGCAGAAAACCCTAAAACGTTCAGTTGTCCTTATTTGCATCACCGTATCACCCCAAAAGCTTGTGAAGGCTGCACCCTGCACTTCAAAGTTAATCTAGATATTGAAGTTAAGATAATTAGAAAACTCATAGCCCAGTATAAGTGATGTTTTTATGATGAAGCAATAAAAAAGGTTAGTTTAAGTGATATATTTTGTTTACTAGAATACTAGGTAGTTGGGGCAGGTGGTCAGTAATGTTTTTTTTAACCATTAAAAGAAAGAATAGAAGCTGCGTGGGGGTGGAGATACATAAACATTTTTATATGCTCTTTGAAGAATTGTAGGCTTTAGCACTCTGCCTGTGGGTCCTCATGCATAGAACTGTCCTGTGAAGATTAGCTTTTCTAAATTTGACTTCATTTGGTATTTGCATATTGTATACCTTAATTATTTGTTTTCTATTTTCTAAGTGGTAGCTAATCTAAAAGACAAACCATTTGTGTTCTCCTAGTATAATTTATTTCCCTTATTAGAATAATTGTTTCCTAGAGCCTAAAATTTAAGATTTCCCTTATTAGAATAATTGTTTCCTAGAGCCTGAAATTTAAGAAAATATATGTTAATGAGTAGTTTGTTGCCCTTTAATTCTTATTTATATGAGTAAAATTCAGAGAAGAGAGGAGAGGCTGAGGGCAAATGTAGCCGAGGAAGAGTACAGACCAAGGTCATCTCCGCAGAGCGCGCTCCGCTGCTGAGCTAGGGGAGAAGGGACGCGTGGCGTGGTGGCGGAACGTGAGAGAAGCACCTGCCTGTACCAGGAGGTGGCGCAGAAAGTAGCCTTCTTTTTTGACTTTCCTTTAGATTAAACAGTTCTGTGGCATTTTGTTGAATTTTCCCTCCTACTTGAACCTCTTACTTCTTCCTCTGGAGATGTTCCTAGTCTCTGAAGCCTGCCCCCCTTCCCTTTTCTTTTTTCTCGATCCACCCCTTTATTGTGTGTGTTTTTAACAATCACAAACTTACAGGAAAGCTGGAGGTACAGTGAAAGAACTTTCAGAGATGCATTTCAAAGTAACGTCCCAAGCGAACCCACCGGCATCCCTGAATATTTCCGTGTGTATTTGCTAAACACATTCTCCTACATTCATACCCGTAATGGGAACACAGCCATTAAAATGAAGAACTCAACACAGATACACTACTACATTTATTTCTCAGATCCTACTCACAGTTTTCCAAATATCCCAATAACATGATTTATAGCAGAAGGATCTCCTTATGAGTATAGGTGAAAAAATCCTTAATAAAATACTATCACACTGAATCCAGCAACCTGTAAAAGGACTATGTACTGTGACCAGGTGGCCTCCATCACAGGAATGCGAGGTTCATTTAAAATCTGAAGGTCAGTTAATGCAGCACATTCTATATATTAGTGTGCTTGGGCTGGCCTAAAAGTGCCGCAGACTGGTAGCACTTCAAATTAGCAATTTAAGTAGCAATTTAATTTCACTCTGTTCTGGAGGCTAGGAGTCCATGGTCAAGAAGCCTGCGAGTTTGGTTTCCCAGGAGAGTCTCTCGTGGACTTGTGCACGGCCGCCGTCATGATGTGTCCTCGCCTAGCCCTTCCTCTGTGAATGGCTGGGGACAGAGCTCTTCCACTTCTGTGAGGACGCCAGTTCTGTCAAGGCAGGGCACCCACCACCTTTGAGACCTTAATCTTTTCCCCTTAAAAGCCTTATCTCCTAGAACAGTCACATTTGGGCTTTAACCTGTGAATCTCTCTGGAAGACACAATTCAGTCCATAACACCGTATAAATAGAAGAAAGCATTTGACAATATTCAACATACCTTCTTGATGAAAAACACCCAACAAATTTGGACTAGAAGGAAACTTAACCTCAAAATGAGCATTTGCAAAATGCTCACAGTTAACATCATACTCAATGTGAAAGACTGGAAGGCCTCCCCCTCGGATCAGGGACCAGGCAAGCCTGCTCTTGCGCTCCGTCTACTCCATGTTGTACTGGACGTTCTGTGTAGGGTGATTAGGCAAGAACAGGAAAAGCACCCAGATCACAAAGGAAGAGGTGGAACTGTCTGTTTACAAATGACGTGATCCTGTAAATAGAAAATCCGAAGGAATCCACTAAAAAATAGCAGAGCTCATCAACAGGTTCAGCAGAGTTGCAGGATTCAAGATCAATATACAAAAGTCAATTTTACATGTATACATTATCAGTAGACAATCCGAATGAGATAGCAAGTGCTGTGGGTTGGACTGAGTACCCCCCAAAGACGTGTTGCGTCCTGTCCCCTGGCACCGTTAATGTGACCTTATTTGGAAATAGGGTCATTGCCAGTCAGATTGAGATGTGCATTCAGGTGGCATAAGGTGGGCCCTTAATATAACGAGACTGGTGCCCTGAGAAAAGGCACAGGGGCAGACACACAGAGACAGCACCACATGCAGACACACACCCAGAGGGAAGATGGTCGCGGGACAGCAGTAGGCAGAGACCGGAGCTTGGCAGCTGCAAACCATGGGACACCAAGGTTTGCTCCCGGCCGTCAGTGAGGAGAGCGCCGGCTGCTGATCCTCAGACTGCAGACATCCCTCATTCAGACCCAAAGCGGAAACAACCCAGATGTCCATGAAGTGATGATTGAATAAATAAAATGATACATCCATGCAATGTGATTTTATTCAACAATGAAAAGAAATGAAATACTGATAGATACTACAATGTGGATGAACATTGAGAACACCATGCAAAGTAAAAGAAGCCCATGGTATACAAAAGACTCTATAGTATACGATTCCATTCATTTGCAATGTCCAAAATGGGCAACTCTACTGAGAAAGAATGTAGACTAGCAATTGCCAAGATTTATGAGCACTGGGGAGAGATGGCACTTGGCTGCTAATGGCTACAGGGCTTCTTCTTAGGAGGGCATGGGGGGTGATGAAAATGTTCTAGAATAGATTGTTGTGATCAGTCTGTATCAGAGCTATGTGAACATACTGAAAATCAATGAATTGTACCTTTAAATG